AAGCTGACCCGTACATGCCCGTTATACTTGGGCAGTTCGAACCTCTGACATGGGCACGATGGAACTGGTCCAGAGGCCACCGACATGTGGTTATGCAAGATGTCCAAGACTGATCTGGATTTTGTCCAGACGACTCTCAGTTTTTTTGCATCAGGTTTGCGAGTTCGCAAAGACAGACCTTCCACTTGATCCAATTACGTGCTTCATTCTCGACACATTTTTTATCAATCAATAAGCAAAATAGTATTTTGATGACCATCCGTTCTCTCAGATTCACTCCTAATCTCTTCTTTATTTAATTTGAAATTAGATTGCGAATAATTTGCCTGCTTTTTTTTGTGTTATGCATTTAAGACCTTTCAACATGTTGAGTAGTTGTATGAGGTCGTTTCCACTTCTTTTTACGTTTCCATGGTGTCCTCAACAAAGCAATGAGTTTAGCCTTTCGTTTATTTGCTCGAGATGCGGTCTTAACAAGACACGTCAGCTCAAAGTTTCCACCTTCTTCAAATAGTGTTTTTCATATCTTTCAACAATGCCATACCATCGTCATTTTTGAATTTGGATTCTCCATAAACCAGACAGATCAACCTCCATGACGACATCCACTTGTTGCCCCCTGAACATTTGATCTGAACTGGTCTGTGTTTGCCTTTTATTTTTTTCATAATATTCATCAGGTTCGTTGTTCTTATATCACCGGGAAGGTCAGAGTCAAGGGAGATGGGTTGCCACACATAGATAAAACTCATTCTTCCTTCTTTCCTTCTTGCTTTTCGGTGCTTCCTTTTTGGTTTGCATTTCCTTTGGTTGAGCTCTGGGTTCTCGCTGTTAGTAATCTTAATTTCCATCATTTTTAATTCTTGTTGTGTGCAAAACCACAATGGAATGATAGTATACGTCTCTCCGATCCCACTTTTCCCTACCACTTACGCACTTTATAGATGGGATTGGACGAGCATCTCAAGTGTTCCCTCCATTGTTCAACGAGCCTTCTGCTAGTCTGACCTATATAGGTCTGTCTACAGAAAGGGGATACATGAAGGTACATAAACGATCCAGTTTTCTCGATCTCGGAGAGTCTATCTAGATCTCAGTTCGCCCAGTACTTAATAAAACTTTGGCCCCATTTAGCGGACCCCAACATAATTGCGAGTATAGTTCCGATCTGAAAGGTTGTTTCCAAATCCCGCTTGGTTTCTCCTTCGTATTTCTTTATCGCATTGCAGATTCCTCTTAGAACGAGGAGCAGGCTTCTCTTTGAAAGAGTTAGTTCCCCGGGACGACTTCGTTTTCCTCCTCATTGTCGGAGTTCAAGTTGTTGCTCTCTTCTTCATCTTCTTGATCGTCTCCAGTGTTGTCGCAGCCGTCTCCATTTGGCAGCTTGGTGAATTCTTCGGTATCTTGCTTCGCCAACTCCCATGCACTCTTATCTTTCCTCTCCCACTTAATATCCCTCTTCACACAGAAGCTTTTGATCTTCTTATCGGTTATCTCCATATAGTGATCCAACCTCAACCTCGTATATTCAACAATCCCGACCTCTGCATGCGCCTTCCTCCCTCTGTTCGTCACTAGCTTCTCTTCTTCGTTTTCCGATCTGTCACTATTGTCTTCCGTCGACATGTTGTTCGTCGCAGTACTTGTTTTGGTGAAGTTTTCTTTTTTTTTCCCTCTCCCTTTCTCTTTCTCTCCACCCCCTTCCAATCCCTCTCCCTCCCTTCTGGGGCTGGTCTTTCCAACTATCAATGCAAGCATACATATGACGTTCTTGAGTTTCACTTGCCCACCCTTCTCTACCTTGATAGGTGGCGTGCCCTTGATCGTAGCCTTTTGTGCGCCCGTATGGCCTTCTTCTTCGTCGGAAGAGACATTGATTCGAGGCTGTTTAATTTTTACCCCACCACTTCTTGATGTGGACCTTGATCGTTGTCGCTCGGCTGAAGGTGAGTCGATGCCCACTACCCGCTTCCTTTTCTCATTACTATTCGACTCGTTCTTCCTTGGTATGGCTTCGAGTTCCTCCGTCTTTTTGGCAAGCTTCTCCTGCTGGCGATCCACCTCCTTCGTCTTCTTATCGACTACATCCAATTTTTATGCGATCCTCTTCAAGGAGACCCCGAAATTCTCTGTCATCGAAGTTTTCAGGTTCTTTTCTCCCTCGTCCGTGCCGATACTAGCTTTTCCCTTTGATTTTTTTGAACCTCCGCTCCTACTACTCTTCCCCGACTCCTCTCTCTTCTTCTTTTCCTTCATCGCATCCCGGTTCCTCCATTTCTTTATTAGCTTCAGGTGTTCCCTCGTAAACTTGGTTCGGTTGCCTGGTGCCGGAAACATGTTGGTAGCGTGCTTCGATGGTTGAGGATAGCCTTGACCGTAGTTCCATGCGGCCTGTGGTGGCAGCGGCGAAGGTGGTGGAATCCACGCATACGGATACTGCATATGTGGATGAGGCAAATATCCAACAGGCTGCTGGATCTGGCTATGTCCGGATGCCAGTGTCGATTGGGCAGGCGCTGCCGCATTAGTTGTTATTGGTGGGGTTTGGTACTCCATCTAGTACCGTCTGTCCCCCGACCACCTTCCCCTCGCTCGTCCTCGTCCTTGTCCACGACCTTGCATGCGTGTCTTCCTGAAGTTCTTCTTGCTATGCTTCTTGGTTGGTTCCTTGGATCAGACGCCATCGTCTTCCCTCGTCTCACTCTTCTGAACAACCACGCATGAGTTTGCTTTCGGCGATGTTCCCGAAATCGTGTTGTACGGCTCAATGTAGAAGCGCTAAACTCCGATCGAGATCCAAAGTCGATAGCTCAGTCCATCAAGCCAGACGAAATCGTGATATTGATAACAATTAAATATTAAATGTTAAATATAAATATTAAAGCATACTCGGTTGCTAGTGATGCATATGTCCCTGCTTCTTCACTACGTTGTCCAGGGACTAGTAAGTGAAGCCGCATCAACAGATATGGCGCCAGGTGAGCAGTACTATGCGCAACTGCCAAGTCGTTCGCCAGGATCAAATCAAAGATAAAACTCAATAACAATATAGTAGAGGTTTTACATCCCGCAGAGTCACCACATTGCCAATGCACACCTCATGTGTACAACATATCTTCTACCTCACTCTACTCAGTCTGTCTAGGAGCATGCGCTCCTCTAGAATATATACTCCATCCTACCCACTACGCTCGGGTACTTCGTGTTTCCACATTTCCTCGATTAAAAAAAAAAAAAAATTTAGTAAATTAAATAATTAAATTTACAATGCAAAACATAACTCTTCACTTCAAGTCAGGAGATGCAGAAGGCGGGAAGACAGCTTCATTCAAGTGGGAGAGAGTATGTACGACAGAGTCTGAGCCTTCGTGCTGTCCTGGTAGCACGCGCCTTCCTTCAGTTTTTCGTTCTTGAGGCGAAGTTATCGGCGTGGCTGTCCTATTCGATCATCCGTTTGTCTTCGTCCTAATACTGCGGATCCATCGTGCGCGGGTCTGATGCTGCCTGTATCCATGTCACTTTTACGTCCGGATCCGGTTTAGAATACAAGTCCCTTTTCTTTAGGCCACAAAACACCTTCTCCTGATAAATAAATCGTAACTGGATTGAGCCCTTGGCGTGGCTGTCTTGTCTGGTCGTCCGTTGTCTTCATTATGTGCTTGCAGATTCGCCGTGTGCAGGTCATATTGCCTTCGTCCACGTTACTTCGGATCTGATTCACGTCCAAGTCACCACTTATAAACCCCATCTCCGGATCGAGCCTTGGTGCACACACCCTGGTTTTGGGCTGTTTTCAAGTTGTTCCCAGTCTGTTGGAGCTTGGGCCGTTTTCAAGTTACTCCTAGTCGCGGTAGCAGTGTTGAAGCATGCGGGCCATTTCGGGCCATATCTGGCCATGCGGGCCATTTCGGGCCATATCTGGGCTACTTCTTTTTGCCTTTTCCTCTTTTTCATGTAGTGCGCTATCTACTGGACATTGTTTCAAACAGTTACGTCAAGTGAGAGTTGTATTTTATTCCCTTTTTTTTTTTTTATAGAGGCCAGTCACGAAGTACACAGTGATCACCTGGAGCAATAGGCCATGGGTGTCCTGGAATACGAGACCACCTCCCATCCCATCCTAGCGCACCCCCTATCCCACTATCCTACCAGTGTGACCAGCGCTCAAGACCATTACCCTACCGATGGGCAGGTAACTTGGACCGAACAGCAGTGATAGGCACCAGGGCTGATAGGTTGCCCAGCCCTGGTGGAAGCGGAATCGGACGAGCCTTGTCGAACAGGAACTTTGGACGCCAGGCCCAGACAATCTACTACAGGCCCCAAGAGACTCTGGGCCCTAGGTTTCAGACAGGGTAGCACCCATTGAAGCAGTCTTACCGTCCTTCCCCTAGCTTACGCAAGGCCAGGCGGAACTCGGACTGGCCTGAGCGACTTATACCCCTACCCTTACCCCACGGTCTAAGCCTTACAGCTCGTACGAAGCAGACTTCAGAGTCTGCAGGGTACCTTCTATCCGAAACAGACAAGGCACACCTCGAATACAAGGTACGTATCTTGTATTCGAGATATTCGAGGGTACCTTCTATTCCAAAATTTAGCAGCAGTTTGTTCAGAACCTGTTTGCCGGAGGTACCTTGAATACAAAGGTACACAACTTGTTTTCGGGTTAAGACGGTAGTGGCCCCGGTTGACCATGGTTATGGTTGGGTTAGCAGCTTAGCAGGGAATAGCGACCGGTTGGCCCAGGCGCTCGGGTTTGGGCCGGGCTTCGTGGGGCCGGAGCCCGGTATCGACAGGCGCCTTGCCCACGGCTCGGCTGGCTTCAGCGCTCCCTTGAGACTCAGCACGAGGTTGAGGTTGAGGTTGAGATTGAGGTGTGCCTTACGCAAGCGGCCCAGTCCACGATTGGAACTCTGGAACTGGCCAGGCCCGTGATTGCGGGGCGGAAGTCGATCATCCGGCGGACCAGGAACGCAGGGTCTCTATTGGACGAGACGGCCGATCGATCCTTGGCCATACATTGCACGCGCAAATCAAATCAACGGGCTCAGAACACTATTGTTTGTTGTCGTGTGCGGCCACGTGGCGAGTGCAAATTCAATCGATCACAAAAATGACAACACAACTGAAAACGATGATGACGTGGCGGACGGCACGTGGCAGCAGGACAAGGCTACTCACGAGCCACGTGGATCCGTGCGGAAGCCGCGCAGCTGTGGCCGGAAACTCGGTCGCGATTGGGATCGCCAGCGGGAATACAAGATCAGGGGGACTGGGGGCGCCGGAGACGTCAACGTCGGCGGCGGGAGGGTGCAATTCAAGTCGGGCGATGCGATCTCTCTTTTCGCAGATGCTGACGGGCCAAATCAAGAGGATTGCCACGTGTTCAGATTCGACTGCGGGGAATCCACCTGGCTTCTTGCTGACGTGGCAGCATGAGAAGGAGAGGAGGAGAACATCATCGGCGGGAATGGTCACGCTATTGCCAGGCATGAGCCTTCCGCACCGATATTTGCTCCCCTTTTTAATCTTTTATGTAAGCGTAATGGCTCTTCTTAAACTTTTTTTTTTTTTGGGGGGGGGGGGGGGGGGGGGGGGGGGTGTGGGGGGGGCCACTACAATAATTACGATTTAGTAGTTTACGCCTTCTCGACGAATGCAGATCCGGTTAAAGGCTCTAATCTGCAATTTCTCAGTTCTTACGAGTCTCTCTCATTATCAATTTTCTCCAGTTAGCCCACATGATTTCCTCTCTCTCTCTCTCACACACACACTTGGTACTGTCCCCTCTTGTTTTAAACTCTCGCTTGTAATTTTCTTAATTATGTTGTATTTTATGTTGAGCCCTCCCCTCCCCCGCCTCGCCCTCCTTCCCTCCCTCTTCTGATTCCCGTCCTACCAGTGGCAAAGCGGTCAATCCCATCTGTCCCGGTTCATAGAATCTGGTCGTGGGATCGATCCCTGTCTTGCTCCGAGCGGCGACTGCGTAACCAGGCAAGCAGTCGGGATCAGGAGTCTTAACAATTCGCAGACTATTTGACAAAGAAAACAGACAAACAAACAAATAAACAAATAAAGAAAGAATATGTGGTGGTGATTAGACGAGTTATGATGATGACGATGCTGTCGAGGAAAGATGATGATGATCCTGATGTGTCTGAGGAGGGGGAGGATGGCAGTCCTATCGGTGCAATGGCTATGCCACTGATCAGTAATCATTGCCGCCCATAAGTTACGTCATTGATTAATTATTACTTAATATTTTTGTATATGTAGACAATATATTGTCACAGTGGAAATCGGAGCGCAAAGGCGGAAAAAGACAGAACAAGAAAAAGAAAAAGAAGGAAGGAAAGCCCCACCTGTTCGTCACCTCTTACGTACAAGGCCAGCCACGTGGATGACAGGTTGAGCGCTGGCTGCCCCCATCCCCGTGTGTCATAAAGACCCACTTGCACGCAGCCAAAAGGCAAAGACAATATATATATATATCGTATATATGACGATATATATAAATATGTTGTATTACACGGGGAAATGGGATTCGAATGGAACGCAATTGGAACACAATGTACGTCAACAGTTTTCCATTCCACCTCCTCTTCGGTCTTGTCTGCGATACCTCTTCTCTTCTCTCCTCTTCTCTCCTCTTCTCTTCTCTTCTCTTCTCTCCTCTTCTCTCCTCTTCTCTTCTCTCGTCTTCTACTCTCTTCTCTCCTCGGTGTCGTGCCATGTTGAGGTTGACTGTTCGGAGTGTTGAAACTCGATGAAGTTGCTACCTGCAGCTGCAGATCCAGCATTGACCCGCCGTAATGATAAACAGATCGGCAGGGCCTGCGACGTCTCTACAGCAGATGATCTACAGCCCACGTCAGTAGCAAATGGATATGTTCCAGAGTGACAGCAGCCAGTTCCGCCTCTCCCGTTCTCTTGACCTCTCTATGTCCGCGCGGGATTGAAGGAGTAGAATGCGATTTAGTCATGAACACGGAGATGGGTGAATGGGTACCTCCTGAACAAATGGCGGAGAGCAGAGAGAACATGTTTAGGCGGGCGGGCGGGCGTGTGCGTGTGCGTGTGCGTGTGTGTGTGTGT